GTGATTGAAATTATTTTATTTCTCATACTGCCACCAACTCGTCATTTTACTTTCCGTCGTCATACCGCAATGAAAAACACGATGTACTTCAAATCTTCGTTAATACTCTCAAACTGCGATTATTACAGAATAATTTACCTCCTGTGTTTCTTTGAAAACCATAAAATAAACCAAAGTACTTAAATTCCACTTCAATTTGCACATACAGAAACTTTCCGTTGCGTTCGAAACGAGAAACGTCCATTAAACAAAAAAAAAATGACAATGGCTGTTATAGAAGGGTGTTATGGTCTTCGCAATACTTAATTTCCAATCATTGTCAAAAATATCAGCAGGTACTGTGCACAGATGGAAACCTTGGTGCCTCATATTTCTACCCTATCTCATATTCGTACCTTCTCCTCTATAGCATGTATAGTTCATAAAATGAAGGGTTAAAACTATTGCGTAATCGGCTAATGAAGTCGCAATTTTCTGTAACAAAAGCACATTCAGTTTAATCGAACGATTTGGATCTATCAGCGTGTACCTATGGAGATAAATATGAGTGGAATTATTTGAGGCTTCCGGGTGTAAGCCGTGTCCAAAAGAATTTACATTCCAGCTAGCTTCATCAGAGTCTGGAGACGCACTGACAATAGTGTGCCTCTGGGTGTTCCCTCCTTTAAGTACCTGTGTTCATTTTCCGGAGCAGTGATTTTGACCAGTCAGTGTTTAATCGATCGATCAATTAAAAAACGGGAGGAGGGTGTTCCAGATAGGGTTAAGTTGGTAACCTGTGTCTCTATTGATGTTGTTAGAGTTTTTCATAATTTCTAAGGATTCCCTATATTTGCGTGGGAAGTATCCTTTGCATCTGGCTAAGACTTTTGTTTTATCAAACAAAATCTTGTGCCCTGTTTCCAAGTGATGTTCCGCCATTGCGGATTGTATGTACCCTAGTCTGGTGCACCTCTCGTGTGCTCACGCTCCTCCCAGTTTCTCCGATGTATGCTTTTCCGCATGAACAGGGTATTTCGTAGACTCCTGCTGATGAAAAACGCGGAAGTGGGTCCTTGGGGGGAGGTGAAGATTCGACCAGTTCTCGTATGTGTGGTGAAAATTGTTGTTCTTCTTGAATATTTTGTGTAGGCGGTCTGTAGTACCCTCAATGTATGGGAAGAAAACTATTGTTCTGTTGTCTTCTTTGGCGTTCGGAACACTTGGTGGTTTTGGTTTTGGCTCCAGCATTCTTTTGATGGTACGTTCCATTTTGTTCGCGAAAGTCTCAAAACTCTCATGTGGAGATAAAGTTTCTTTGATTAATGTTTATGGTCCTAAAGAACGGTATTTAAGACTTCGTTGCCGGTGTCCTTTTTCTTGTACGAGGGTCAGTCAAATGTACACCGGATTATGTATGCCATATCTGTACAGAGTCACGTGTGTCGATGAGACTGACTGTGAGTTGAAACGAGAGTGATTTTGCAACATTGCACTCCCTGTGAGGCTCTACTTTTCGTTTCGTTAGTAAACAGCACAATGAGTGAGAAGTCAGTACCATCTTCCGTTGCACAACGTATTGTAATTAAGTTTTGAGGGCACAAAACCTATTGAAATTCTGCATCGGCTGCGTTTACAGTTCGGTGATGAGACATTGTCAAGAACTCAAGTGTTTGCTCGGTGTAGATCGTTTTCTAGTGGACGTCAACACGTCGTGAACGCATCTCGTCCGCGACGTCCGAAGACCAGTGTGACATCGGGAAATATTGAAGCTGTCCGAAAACTTGTTGAGAAAAGAACAGTCACTGCTAGCTATTAATGCACGCTGCTAGACAAAGTTAAGGCAGCCTATAGATTGAAAAGACGGGGAGTTCCCGTCCGTTCAGTACTGCTTCTCCATGACAACGCTAGGCCTCACACCGCCATTCAAACACAGGAAAAAATTAAAAAGATACAGTGGACAACGCTTGATCGTCCTCCCTATAATCCAGATCTGTCACCGTGTGATTGTCATTTGGACCATTAAAGGAGGCATTAGGACGACAGCGAAGGCTCATATTCGGAAACAATAACATGATAACTATCAAGTAGCTCCGAGATTAAGTCTTCGTTATTTAACGATACACAATTCAGTAAGCCGTAAACTCAATTGCATGCACTATAGAACAGTGTTTATGAAAATGATTATACACTCACTGTTTCGGAGGTATCTGTAATGTAATCGAACCACTTGAAAAACTTTCTGCAATCTATTGCGCAAATATGCTCGCTCAAGACGGTTGATTTGATAATTGACATTCGAGTGTTCCGTAACGGAGATAAGCTTGTGTCTAATATTAGTAAAGGTCTCGTATTAGGCAACTTCGCTCTACTCATCCTGTATCGACCAAAATTTGACCGCCCACCGCAGATATAATCCGATTCGCAGGCACTAGTGCGGGAAAAGGTAGGGTGCGAGAAGGAGATCACATTATGACCAATCGAACCTGCATTCCTTCCCGACGCCAACATTCTATGTAATACCTCTGTACAGCACAATAAACTCTACAGATCGCTCTCCATTTTCGCTTCACGGACCGCCTATCTTCCCTATCTCCACGGACCCGCGTGTATTTTTTCCACCTCGCCCTCGTGTTACTTCCCCCTTCCGGCCTTGGACATGAAAGCATCGGTGCGGATATTTCGCGAGACACACTTCGGAGCGCCATGCTTCCGCAGAGGGTACGGGAGATAAAATGTGTGCGGAGAGAGAAATAGATAGAAATGGGAAACAGAGAGGGTTAGGGGACAAAACTAGATGAAGAATAAGTCCGAGAGAGAAACAGTGAGACAGAGATAGCACAGAAAAGGACAGAGAAAGTACAGGAAGCAAGAAAGCAAGCCTGGAGAGAGAAACCGAGAGGGAGAGAGAGAGAGACAGAGAGAACGAGCGCGCGCGGACGAGAGAGAGAGAGAGAGAGGGTGCATAGTAGAAATGTCAATAAAACGTGTTGGCCAATGAGGAAGCTTGGAGTGACGTCACAGTCGTGGCATTGGCCAATCAGAAGGCACCGGTAACATCACTACAAGGGTGGAAACAAGTCGATCCCAACCAGGAGAGGCTTTTCTCTTTCTGTGGGTTGCTTGGAAAGAGGGGACCGTTGGTAGGGAATCAGGAGAACCATGAAGAAGAGAGGGGAAAGGAAGAAGGACGTGGAGGTGGAGGAAGGAGGTTGCGATGGGCTGGGATCATAGGATGGGTGCTAGGGGGTGGGGAGGGTGCAGGGATTGGCGGAGGTTCGGGGATTCGGTGTGCATACCGGGGTGTCGCTGGTGGCGGTTCGGGCAATCCCCAATATGGGTTTACTAATCCCGCAAAACAATGGAAATTGCCCGATGCAAAATGGCGATAGGTAAACTACTCTACCTCGGGGAGTCCCGGAAAAGCTTCCTGGCCGCAGAGAAGTTTTGCGGCGGTTGATAAAAGACAAATGCTCCGGATATGTTCACGTTTAAACGATCCGCTTCGGTGGAATTAATTTACCAGCGAACGTATTCGAGTATTCTTCTACTCGGTCATTTGTAACTTGATTGAACAATTATGCACGTTGTGTGTTGCTTAACTGAAAGGGAAATGAACACTTTTGTCGTAGGCGACAAAATTTTGGGCGAATTTTTCGCGTATGTATTCTTCGACACTTCGCAGTTCCACTGTTTTTGATTATGCTGTATGGTTGAAACGTATGAACTCGTAATTTGAAAAATTGAGCAAAGGGAAATATAGAGAATTAAACAAATACTAGAAACATTGTAGAATGTTTGTTCAATAGTTACTGCTTTTAATAGAAAGGACATTCTCATGAAATGGCTCGTAACGTTCTTTCGTACTACCTTTCATAGGAACCTACAGCGGGTGATCAAATTATTAGAGCCACAGTATTAAAAATGTTTTTCGTATTTGTGTAAAAATAAAATCACAGTATCAAGGTTTTTATACTGAATAATTTTTCATTAACAATTGTCCACGAAAAAAATAGTTAAACTTAGCTTATGTAGTTATAAAAAATACAACTTGCGGTTCTACGTTGAGTCCGACTTTGCGATAATAAAACGATATTAAACTATTTGTTCATGCGTTAATATTGTTGTGACTAGCGCTGTGACTAGATGCTGAATCTAGCGCTCGATTATTAGAGCCTTTCTTCGACATCGCGACGCTATCCTAATCGAGTGCTAGATTCAGCTCGATTATAAAAATATGCCATATGACAGGTAATATTGCTTAAAGCGTTGCCAAGTGTACGTTTGCAATTTGCAAGTATTAGGTCTACCGGAAAGTTCTGTCCGATAATGTCATCTCAAGAACCAAAGATGAGTCATTCTACAGAAATGGAATCCATAAATTACCATTGCGCTGGGAAGAGGTCATTTTTAACGATGGAAATTAGATTGTTCAGTAAATAGGGTAATTTCGGGAGAGGCGGGCCAGGCAAGTATTTCCTACATTATCCGCCAGATATGGAAGAAAAAACACTGAGAGTAAAACAAATGTAAAACAAAAGAATACTGACGCGTTCCACATATGGCGGATAATGTAGGAAATACTTGCCTGGTCCGTCTCTCCCGGAATTACCCTATTAATAAATGTATCGAAAATGTATTATTTTCTTTTAATTGAAAAACGGACAGAACTTTCCGGTAGACCTAATATCAACGCTTCGTAAAAATAATAATTAGAATTCAGTAGGTATAACTAGGCTTTCGTTTAAAAATTAATCGTTACAATGCAAAACCGACAGTTCTTCGCAAGTGGCTCTAATAATTTGATCACCCGCTGTAACTCTCATATTTCAAGGATTATTTGGATACGTCGCTTAAGTATGTTTTACTATACTTCACGTTAATATCTCTGAACAGAAATATAGGGCAATTTTGGGAGAGATGGGGTCCGTCTCTCCCGAAATTACCCTAGCTAAATGGACGATAGCAATGTTAAGCAGTATTACCTTAAAAAACTAGAACACTTTCTTTCTGCTTAATAGGTCTGGTTTCAAAATAGAAGAGCGAAGTATCGGAAGCAAGAAAAGCAGCTCCAAAAGGCACTCACGCCTATACCAGCTTGTCAAGGTGCTATGATGAGGAACATTTATCCCGGCGCTAGTAGAGGTTATCAACCATATCCTCATCCTCATAATAGCATAAATGGAATAAACCGCTACCCTCAGGCAAGTTATTTATACGAACTATTTATTTATTTTTCATTTTCTTTCCTTGTATTGCGCATAACTTTAACTGAGAATCGTTTAAATATGACGCGAGAGAAATATTCTTAACTCTTCGTAGACGAACTGGACAGTTTGTGTCCAAGTGGAATTTTTTTTACTGTTTTAAGATTTCGAAAAATCTGAAAAAATTCTGGAATACTTGTCAAAGTCTCTACTAAATTATAGAATTCGTTTCGAGAAAATATGGGAGTAAAGTTTTTCTAGGTTTCTTTAAATTAAATGTATTACAAAACCATCAAACTTAAATTCTGATATGCACAATGCTACGAGTTTATTAACGGTTAACAATTTGCAGTTTCTTACAATGAATTGATAACAGATAACGTAAAAACTGTGTAATTCACTATTAATTAGTGTTGTACAATTAACTCGTAGCATTAAGAGATCATGTGACAATCATAGAGCAAGATTATTACTAAACTGTATTTGTAACGAAGGTTAATTTGGACTTTAAGTTCAATTTTCATTTAAAAAACTGGAGATTACCAAATATGAACCATGTATGATAGTGTAACTTTATTATAAAATGTAATTCTGCAATGAATCGCAAGGAGTTAATTTTGTTTATACAGGGTGTAACAGAAGTAGGTGGACAAAATTTAGGAGTGTATTCTATTCATTCTGAGAATGAATTAAAATGATACAAACGTGGATCCAGAAATTTTCTCTTCTCTAGATGTGGGTAAAGACTTTCATTCTTTAAATCCTTCAAATTCTCTGATTTTCATTCTATGGACATTAGGACTGTTATTTCGTGTGATAAAATTCGAAATACCAGATTTCTCGAACATATTCGACAGTGCATAACATGTCGATTCGAAGAAAATTAGTTGCAGAATTCTTTCTAACAGAATAAACAAACAAGAAACATTTATGTAAAACTCGGAAAGAAAAGATTGCCAGGTCCGTGTTTATCTGAACACTTTTCAAATACGTTTCTCAAATTCGCCCACCTATTTCTGTTACACTCTGTGTGTGTTTGCTGATAACATTTACGCTTCTTTGCTAAAAATATTAATTTACTTACTTCGTACTTACACTACCGGCAAAAAGTTTGGGATAACCTCCCAATTTTCATCAATACTGAATCTGCCACTAATTTCGTACAGATCAGAAGTTTATATTGTGGAGATCAATAGCAATTTACCTCGTATCGATCGATTTGAATGATAAAAAATTCTTAAATCTGCTAACTTCTTCCTCTAAATTTCTGTGCAACTTGCGTGTGATTTCGAACTTTTGCTTGCCAATGACAAAAATAACAACACATAATAAAATTCATTATTACAAAGGAAATAGGTTCATTCAGCTTCCAGATAGTAAAATGTGAATACAGTAAATTCTCCACAAGTGTCAGTCCGCGAGGAATCTAAACCTGACACTTGTAGAGTCAGGGACTACGTTTTCGAGCCTCGCGCCCGCCTTTGTAGTTTGCCGAACGTAGACAAGGACAGCGAATAAAAGATAAGGATGAAACGTGAGTCAAGGGAACCAAGCGATTTAAATACCAACTTTTTTAATTTTACGTTCATTAGAAAAATCTCACCAACACGTTAAAAAAAATTCCAGATGAAAAAAAAAAAAATTAAAGAAATTATGTTTTTCTATTATGAATTGTCGAGCCGTGAAATCTCGTAAAAGAAACCGAGTGGTGTAGCGTTACACGCTTTACTGACAACGAGCGAGATAACATAGGCGCAGCAATGACGGAGCCTAGGCGTAGGACCATCTATACTGACACTTGTAGAATCCAAACTGACTGACACTTGTAGAAAATTTACTGTATTAGGTATCTGACATGTCAACTTATCGTTATACATAGGGGAGAGTCGTGCAGTACCGGTCAAAGCTAGATCTCGCTTATACTGTTAGTTGATTGCACTATTGATGGAAAAACAAATAAATACTCTAGCCCTGAGCAACGTATTCCGGCGACGTTCATTTTTCTTCAGTATTACCGGAGTTATAAGACGTTTAACGTTTACGCTGGTGTTCCGTACGACAAAAGTTACGTTTCATAGCTGCAACGGTTGGGCTCACGTGGAGTATACGGATCAAGAAAATATCAAATCACTTTACCTGTGATATTTGTAGACGCGCCTAAATAAAAGTTCTATTCTATTTTTAAATGATTTTTACTAACATTACTTATCACTCAGACCTTAAAATCTACCAACTAAGTAGCTGGCCGGTACTGTTCAACAATTTTTCGTTCGCTGCAAATTACAACTTTTTTATTTCTACGAATTATTTATCTTTATGAGAAAATTTAAGAAAAACCATTTGTCCCCTTTTATCAAGCACCCTTTGTACTACAAATTACTTTTTTCAAATTTCATTTTTACCAACATTAGCCCAAGTTATAGTACAAAAGCTTAGAGTGGCCGGTACTGCACGACTCTCCCCTATATCAATCAAAATATGACTTATTGTGTTTTCATAGTTAATTGATCCTATTGGGTAAAAGAAGAAACGTTTGCCGTTACGAGTTACGTTTATGTGTTTGAACTGGGTTCGAATCGTATTCCTACGAATAAATTCGATGCGTTTCTCGTTAATGATTTTAACCGAGGTATTAAATTGAAGTGCACCTGAGCGTACGTCCGGCGCATCGCTATCGGTCGATGTAGCTAAATTGCATTTCGACTGATTAGTTGGGTCGGACGGATTACCGAATGCCTACCGGTTTAATTAAGCCAATAATTCGTCGAGCGCATCGGTTTGCCAGTAAAAAAGCCTCGAGATCCTCTTAATCGATCTTCGAAGTCACGTTTGGAATTCTCTGATGAAATTATTTGCTATAATGTTTCCTCTAATCTTTTCAATCCGCTATCTGTTCGGTTATTCGTAATTGTTGCTGTACGACAATTCGTTGTTGTTGTTATTTAACAATTAATTTCAGTTTTTACAACGTCGTTTATTCGTGAATTCTAACATTGTTCTTAACACGGTACCTTTTTTCCACAAGTCATCAAATATTATTGTACTATCGTGTTAAAGTAATACCATATTTAAATAGATGAGGTGTAGAATCAGGGCCGCGTTTATACATTTGGAGGCCCTAGGCGTAACATCATTACGAGGCCTCGAAAGAACAAGTCTGTTTCAGTTATTCAAATTCATACACATTTTCTTTTTTTTTTTTTTTTAAGATAATTGAAAATAAGAGTTGATATTTTCGTAATAACTCTTTTTAAGGAATTATTTGTCTGTAGAAATTTTCATCGATGTTCACCTTTTGACGAATAGTGGGCTTTCGTAAGTTTGGCGTTTTCGTTTTCAGCGGCCTCTTCCATGTATATCATAAATGTAGTATTTAAAAATTATTAGTTTATTTTGCAACTATAACTAGACTGTGTTTTATATTCACCAAAGTCAAGCTGTGCTGGGCGGCGTCCGTAAAAGGATGGGTGACCGCTAGTCACCGCATCCTCTGGAGGCCGTGTTGCTGGTTTTTTCGGGCTGAATTTTCGCATGGACGTTAGTCTTACCCTAACTAACGCCCAGGAAGCGAAAAAGCCGAAGAGAAAAATTCCTTACCGCCAGTTTGGGGTTCAAGCCTAGGACGGACGTCCTCGCTGATCTCCGAGCCAGGTTCCTGGTGGCTAGTGGTTTAGAAAGGAAGTAAGATAGTTCTGCTGAATGGAGGTATAAGACGCAGTGTCTGGGGAACTCCAAATGCCTTTCGGGGCGGCAAACACTACGTGTTTTTTATATTGTTTATGAGGAGTAATGTTTCACAACGTGGCCCCGGGTTGAATCTAATTGTACAGTTTGTAGAATGAATTTAGTAATTTTTAATTATTCACATTAGGAGAAAAATGTTAAATAAGTTACTTTTTCACTAAAAAGTTTCTTGAATAGACATTTTGTTTAATAAAATGTTTGATGACTTATGGAGGATAGCGCGTATACTTATTAAAATGTAGCAGTATAATGTTAACAGCAGTTTGTACTAGTTCTCTTTTACGGATAATGATAATGAAATGTCGGAAATTAAACGAAATCAAATTTCAGAAAGTTACAAAGCAATTTTCTGTTCTTTCTGAAACACAAAATACAATTCTTATATAAAGAAAAAAACAATCTTTAGAGTTGTTAATCTTAAACTTTAATTATAAGAGCTGTTTATAAGAATTGAATATGTATTAGCTAGAATGCATAATTTAATTCAAATGTACTTATCGGTTATCACATTACGTTGATATATACAATATTGCAATAGGTGTGTGTGTTACTGTAAAAGCCAGAGTACCGGAAAATGTTAGGTTTGTCCAGCATATCCTAAGATTTACCAATAATTCGTGGTAAAAGTTACAATTTGAACGTAACAATTTGTGTTTGCGGACTTTTACCAATTTCTATTAGTCACATATTATTGGCATTTATTAAGAAATACAGTCACACTTACTGACGTTTTAACTAACCAAACTATTATTAATATTATTTAATAATAATTAATTTTATAATAATAAAATATTAAAAACAAATTAAATTTCTGAAGGTAATGCCAATCCAACAGACTATAAAATGAAATAGTTATTGAGCAATCTAAGCGCAGAAGGTCAGGTTAGGTTATGTTTATAAAAAACTATATAACCTAACCTAGATAAGCACAGAATGTCAGGTTAGGTTAGGTTTATAAAGAAAAGGAAGCAATATAAAATTTCAGTAAAAGCACAAAATAAGTATTGATTTCATAATATTTTGGACTTATACCGACATTGGTTTGCAAATATTAGGATTTCCGCGTAAATCTTAACATTTACCGGCGTTCAAGCTTTTACGGTAGCATTTGTATCGTTAAAATTTGACTCTTCGTTTAAGAGGGTATTCTAGTCTAGAGTGTCATTTTTTAGTCCTTCTTAGGGATTTTTTTGTAAGGAAAGTATAAGTTTCTCAGTATCGCCATTTTGCATACGTATTTATTCATGTTTTAAGAAAGTTCACAATTTTTTTCAAGTGAAAATAATCAAAACTGTCTGAATTATATATCATTCAGTGCGATCCCTTTAAAAAAAAAGTGCTGACACGATTCCGCCCATTCTGTTTATCCGAAAGGAAAAAT